GTACCTTGGCTCTCGGAAGATCTAGTCGGACGTTCATAGTGTTCATTCAAGTCTTCATGGCCTCTATCCTATTCAACATTTCTTGCAGAACAGCGATAGTGGTTACTTCCTCTTGTCTTGCAGAGGAAATAGCCCTGCTCTGTCGAGCTCCCGCTACCTTAACCATCTCGTATGTTTTATTAGTATACCTCCCTCCTTCCGTGAACCGCGTTTATGATAGGCTCCCCATTTCCGACCATCAGTGATGCTTTCCGGCAGGATTGGCTTAGGGATTTTATCAAAAACAACCACTCTCGTACTGCTTGTTACTCTCACCTCTCTCCTTTCTAATTCTCTCCTTTCTTGGTTGATTATTTACTAACCCAATTTTGAAACGACTCACGGTCTGTCCCTCTCTCCCTCAATGAAGGGACATAGGATAGGATATCATACTCACCAGTACTGAGCAAGGATATGCGCCTTCCCAGGGGCATGCCTCTCCTCCAGGGATATGCAACACTCTATCCTGTAGGGAAAAACTCCTCACCGGTAAAAGGAACCAGAGCGTCCAGTGATGCCGTGATTGTCGGGTAGTAACCAGACATTGCCAAATTCCTAACTCCTCTTAATGTCACCCTCAATCTTCCATTATCATCATAAACCTTATGCTCTCCCTCTACTCCATAGATGTCAGTGTCAACAAAGATTTCCCTCTCAACTGCGTCAATGTAGGACGCACCTCTTTTGATTTTTACTTCTTCTCTCAGGGGATCTCGCACCCTCCTACAGATCAGGGCCCCCAGTAAGCAACGATCCTCATAACTCCAACGGGGAATAAGGACTCTTGCCTTTCCGGATTCCTGTCTTGTCAGGTCCTTCTTTATGCCCTCTTTTATCAAAAAAAAAAAGAGCTTTCACGATTGCATTTCGCTATCTCAATCCTTCTTCATCTTCAGTTTACTAGTGCCTACTAAGTCTCCCAGATATGTTTACTTCCTAAAAAGTCAGCATGTCTCTTAACCATAACAAGATTCGTCTTAAACTTCAAACCGGTGCTCAAAAGCTTCAAAGAACAACGACTTTCTTATGACCAGATCATCCTCTCTTGCCTTGCCAACCGCAGCAATAGCTTCCAAAAGAGGCGTCCAGTCCCTTCTGTCTGTGAAGCTATCCATAGTAAAAAAACTAGGAAGACTTTCAAACTGCCTGACCCGTTTTCGTCAGGTCGCTCTCTCACGCAAACCTTGAAGTAGTCTCCTTACTCTTAAGTGATGAATGTACACTCTCCTTATACACCGTAGGTAGTCTTCTTCTTCTTCTATTCCTTTTCGAGCATAAACCCTCACATTAAGCCCGTCGGTCTTGAAAAATCTAACCACTGGAGCATAGAATACTAGAGGCCCTTTCTTACAGACATCATGCCTCAGTATTTCGAAAGGGCTTTCAATTTCAACCACTTTATCTAACCATCCTCTATCAATGGCCACAGTCGCAATTGACATAGAGTCTCCACATTCTACAATCATTGTCTTGGGCTGCCTCTACTACCTCCAACCGGACTATCCGCTGGTTGTTGTCTCGATAAAATGGTCTCATCTCTTGCATGTAGCATCACTCTTCCGCCATCCGAACTCTTGCAATCTAGTAGATGCCTAATCCTAGTCTGATCCATAATTGCTCCAAAAGCAGTCGCTCGCATAAGCTCAAGATAGTGCTCTATCATGCCAATCTCGTCATGCCTACCCAATCTAGTATCACATTCTGCCATAGCCCTGATGACAGTCACTTGCTGCTCGTCAAGATAGACCTCCAAGCCAGAGTTCTCTCCGTTATCAGGGTGTAGGCATTCATCGGCATAGCTCACCACACTCGATCCCTGAGTATCGCGTTGAGGATTGGTCCCTAGTCCTTTCTGCCGCAGAAGCTAGGGGGCACAGGAGGGCTTGGGAATCTCTCAAACTCTCTAGGTAGAACACTCCATGTCACCTTCTTTCCATATTGTTTCAACAACAGCCTTTCATCCAAGATATACCCAGCAGCAACTACCCAGCACGCCTCGTAATCAATCCCTCTCCTTGTTTCAGTAGATACATACGGCCTCACATCATACTCGTTTGTATTGAGGAATCGAACTACAACGACGTATAAGGTCACAAAATCATGCTCGCAAGTCACGCATTGCTCGGTGATGTATGGAAAAGCACCGCCACCCGTGATCCTGGTCAGTGCTTCTATTGCCCTAGTTACTACCGACATGGGCTGCCGACTAGCTCTGCCTCCTCAGCGCTGCATTGATGATAGGTTGCCAATTCCTACCGTCACAGAATCCTTTGGGTACTGGCAGGGTAGGCATCTTCTCCTAGATCCTAGGCACTAGGCCCCAACTCGCTTCTATTCCTTGCTGTCTCAACTGATCCCTCTCTGCTTTGATGCACTTCACTATAACATCCCAGTTGGTAAAGAAATCCGGTTCCTGATCAGCCCCTTCTAGCATGTAGGGTTGAATATCATAATCATCGGCGTCGAGGAATCAGGAGACGACCACATGCACAATCATTGTACTTTTTTCACAGGTGATACATTTGACAAACATATATGGAAAGGCACCACCACAGGTGACATGAGGCAAAGCTTCTAGGACATTATACTCTTCAGTCATTGCCTTGTTTCTGACTTATAGACTTGTCAAGCCGAGAGCCCAGAACAAGGGTTCCAAGTCCTTGCTTGCAGGCCTGAATCACTTCAAATAGACTCCTGCAAGAGACCCCTCCTCTCGGGGCTCCTCTAGCCGAAAGTTTTTCTGATCTGAGGCAGACCTTGTACAAATTGCGCTAGACTACTGCCAAATCACAGAATATTGTCACTAGGGTCCATTCCCAGGAACTCAAGGTTTTTGAGTCCTCGGCAACAACGCCATTTTTGTCGCGTCCCCACCACTTCCATGGCCTGGTTCGATGCCGGTCCCCGGGCCAAGTGCAGTGGGTTGGTGGACTGGTAGGCTATCACACAATTTTTTTTGGTAGGTATAAAAATCATATAAAATGTGAGTACATTCAGAAAACCGCCTTTGTCACTTTCACTCATACAGTCGAGTAGTCAAGGTTATCCCTCCTGCCAGCGACGACATGGCTTAGAGTGAGGCATTTGGGTTCATCTCGTGCACCTGACCCCGTATAAAAGTCAGACTCGAGGTCACCGAAGTCCCTATTATCCAGGAGTCCTTCAAGTAGCCCTAAGTGTAACATGTGTTATAAGAAGAAAAAATAAGATAACATCCCATGCATCATAGAACAAATGACACTGAAAGAACACGAAGACCCGAAACCAAACTCTGCAAGAGCATGACCAGAGACACGAGACTAAAGAGTAGTACTCAAGGAAAGCAGGGAGCAGCCATTAGAGGGCTGCAGTCACTGATAAATCATAATAATGTCAAAATACATCGCAGTGACCAGAAGGAAAGAGTTTCAGTCGATAATGATAAGTGGTACCCCCTCATGAGTAGGCCCTACTGTCTGGGACTCCACATCCGGTACACACTGGTCCTCCTCATCATTATGAACCCGAATGTTGTCGTTTCTGGGACCCCATAGCTGATTTTAAGAGGCGCTTCATGATCAATCTTGTTAATGTATGCCATGCATCTCGCCATCTCCATGTCCGCAGTGCTCCTGAGGTAGAGTTCCTCGGCAAGGGTAATATCGCCCGTAGCACCAATCAGTATCTCGATTCGTCCCTTCCTGTCTATGTAAACGTATGAAACCTCAAGGAAACGGTCTCCAAAAAGTGGCTTCCGGAAGGCCTGCATCGCAAAATCTGCCCCAACTTGGTGACTAAATCCATCTCCGAGATATGGGACAAGTCCTCCCCCTCTTGGGGGTCCGGCAACCGCCTCGGTCCTAGGCTCGCCTGACATATAGAAATCAGTCTCCCTCGAGCAGATAACGTGCAAGAAGATATGCAATCCGTCTCAATGTCGCTCTCCGTCGTGGCCGCTTACCGGTCTCCAGTGCATAAGCAATCATCAACAGGTTATGGGTGTCCCAATCGAAGTAATCGCTATGATAGACGTCGCTCGTACTGCAAGGATTAAAGTTCGACTCATCGGTCTCTGGTCTCTGCGTGCAGATAGTAATCGGGATCTGTGATTCAACTATCTTGCTCTTGATCCGCTCGTCCTTCCACTTCTTGTCCTTGCTACGTGCTTCACTGAGGGGCTTGGGCTTGCACCCATGAAAATTGAAGAAGACACCACCAGGAGCTGAGGATACCTGAGGGAACACCACATGAAGCCAATTGTCTCTCCAATGGCTCTCCCTGCAGAATATGTAGTCGGCGATTCTGTCATATGTGCCCCCTTTACCAAGTAGGTAATCACCAGAATGTGTCTGGAGGTCGGGAACTCATTAGCCCTGACGTGGAAAATCTGGTGACCGTCATACCGGTAACGGAAACTCTCAACAAGTTTGCCCCGCTTCGGGGTTGTCCCTTGTCGACGTGCCACTTTAGACAATAATTGTGCTTATGAGAGTACATGCGCATGGGTCCTCCAGATGACAGGACCAATCAACAAGGTCATCCCACTAGTCCCCAAAGCAAGTAGGAGCTCACCAGCCACATCAAAGTTGTGTGGCCCAACTCAACAATGGTGAAGGCAATGCCCGGGCCTCCCTGATGGGCTTGGCCAAAAAAGGCAACAACAAAGTGGTGTCTCGACCCGCCTGAGTGGGCCTGACTGAATCAGCAACCAGCTACAATGAAAGGGGCCCGCCTGAATGGGCCCGCCTGAACATTAGCAACTCGAAGGAAGGGCCCGCCTGAATGGTCCGACTAAACAACAACAGCTACTCGATGGAAGGGCTCGCCTGAATGAGCCCGACTGAACAGCAGCAACTTGATGGAAGGGCCCGCCTGAATGGGCCCGACTAAACAACAACATATCGTTGGAAGGGCTCGCCTGAATGGGCCCGGCTGAACAGCAGGAGCAACTCACTATAGTGCTATCACAAAAAAGTGTCTCTGCTACAAGTGGATGAGGACTGGGACTGTCAATATCGTCAGAGCAAAGGACCGATCAGCAGGGCATCGCCTATGTAGGGACCAATTGCAAATGTCGTATGCGCTGGTACTGCACTGCATGAAACTGGACCACAAATAAAGTGTGTGTTAGCGCGCATGTTAAGGATCGACAATGTCCAACAAATAAAGTGTGTGTGAGCGTGCAGGTTCAGGATCAACAATGTCCCACAGATGAAGTGTGCGTGAGCGCACAGGTTCAGAATCAGCAATGTCATACGAAAAAAGTGTGCGTAAGCGCACAGGCTCAAGATGGACAATGTTCAACAGATGAAGTGCTCGTGAGCGCACGGGTTCAGGATCGGCAATGTTCCGCGAGCGCACAGGTTCAGGATTGATAGTGTCCCACAAATGAAGTGTGTGTGAGCGCACAGGTTCAGGATCGACAATGTCCCAATGATGGAGTGTGCGCGAGCGCACAGGTCCAGGATCGACAGTGTCCCACAGATGAAGTGTGCGTGAGCGCACACGTTCAGGATTGACAGTGTCCCACAGATGAAGTGTGTGTGAGCGCACAGGTTCAGGATCAACAATGTCCCACTGATGAGGTGCGCGTGAGCGCACATGTTTAGGATCCACAATGTCCCATAGATGAAGTGCACCTGAGCGCACAGGTTCAAGATCGACAATATCCCACAAATGAAGTGCGTGGGAGCGCGCCAATGAAAGTACCGATGCGTTAACGCCCGGTTGACTATGACCAGAGATAGCCCTCGGTGCAGATTTGACACAGCGCGGAGGTTGAGCGCGTCGAGCCAACTTCCGCTAGCACGGCACGTCGGCCTCCGACAACGCGGCCTAGGAAGTCTTCACCCAAGAGGTAAGTAGGCCACTAAATCTTTGGAGGAGCAAAGTGTTTCTCATTCTTCGGTGTGCAAGTTCGGCGACACACTGCTTGGAGCGTTGGTTGGAGGAGCGCTGGGCATTACAGCGCTGCTAAGAGGAAGGAGACCGAGAGCTCCCACCTCGGCTATGGTTCTCTACCAGTACGAAGAGGAGGAAGAAGAGGGCTAGGAGGGAGCGTGGCAAGGTACCTACATGGCTATGGTGGGCACCATCTTCATCACCTTGGTAGGCGCGGCATCTGGAAGGCACCGGTTGGGGTTGCGCCGCACCAAGAGAGCTTCAAATCAGTCAGGCATGGCGGCTTGAAAAGCAGCGAGGAGAGCGTGGCCCTAGTAATCCGCCATAGCCTTGGCCTACATGAAGAGGAGGAAGAGGGGTGACCATGGCTATGGTGGACCTCATGTCAAGCCTGCAGTAGAAGAGGGATTCGCACATAGCCATTCAATAATGTTATTGTTATTCATTTGAGTACGAGGGGAGGAGAAAAGGAGGTGGAGAGTGGTTGGCGAGAAGAAGGGGCCAGAAAAGTTCATGGCATCTCAGAGGAAGCCCAATGTGCTATCTTTCTAGGGCTGCTCACCGCTGCGGAGGCTGCGGAACTAACGAGCCATGGAGGAGGAAGCGAGAAACTTACGTGGGCCACTATCGACAAAGGCGTGTCAGAAGGAAGTTTGGACGAGGTGGAACTACACCAAATGCGCCTGCAAACACAGCGTCCGGAAGCCCGGGAGTGAGAAGGATTGTCACTGACGTGCTGGCGGAACTGGGCTATGGGAAAGATGGGGTAATACAGAAAAAGGTAGTGACGTTGGTCCAAGGTAAGGGAAAAGTACCAGTGGTAGAGGAAGATGCTCAAGAAGAGTGGGAAGACGAAGAGCATGTGCCTCAACACCTCTCGAAGGCGCTACGCAAGCAGCGCAACTTAGCTCAGAGGGGGCAAGGTTCAGGAAAAAGGCAGATGCCTCAGACAGTGGTAGTCGCGCCACCGAGCGTGTCGGCTCCATCAAGTAGCGCGGGACCCTCGCAAGTGCCGGTACCACCATTCGGGCAGTGGCCCTGGCCTATGTACAATACTTTCGTGCCATGGGGGAATCCGGCTCCGCCCGACCAGGTGGTACCGTACGCTGGACCCCAAGCGAGTATGCCGCCTCCGAGCTACCCCGCCGCTCAGGCCCAGCCATGGCGCCACCCCCATCGCCCGCACCAAGCTCACATGGTAGCGTGGCACGTGGAGGTAATCAAGGCCAGGGAAATCAGGGGAATGGAGGGAGAGGTGGAGGAAGAGGACGTGGCAGAAATGGTGGTGGTCGAGGAGGCCAATGGGATAACCAAGGTTACCAGGGCCAGGGAAACCAAGGTAACCAAGGGAGCAAGGGAAGCGGGAGAACCCGCTTTGATTGGAGGACCGCCATATGCCAACATTGTGACAAGCAAGGTCGCACCATACAGTTTTGCAATACAAGGCGGGAAGATGAAAGAGTGGGACTGATCTACTCCAACATGGATGGTGACATATACGATCAGTTCGCAGGGTACATTGACAGGAAGGTCCCTGGAGGTGTGAGGGCGGAAGCCCAAAGAAGGGTGGCTGCACGGCAAGCGCCGCCTGCCACGTTCAGGTTATGGCAGGAGAAAGAAGACCCACCAATTAGAGTGGAAGAGGTGGGAAGTGATGAGGAAGTGACCCAGAGGCTGCGGGCAGGGGATATAAAAGAAGAGCCCATAGTCGTTGAGTCCGAGAACGAGGAGGAGGAGGAGAGAGTAGAGCGCCCCTCAATCTTGTTGGGAAAGATGGAAGACCTGTTGGACAAACTGGGAAGATACCAACAGAAGTTGGTGGACCTCTGTGAAGGAGTGAAGGAATGGAGGGCCAACATCCCCAAGGTCTTCCTCTATGATTCCGGCCCATAATCCATGCCAGGACGACCCGGGGTGACCACCGTGGGATCAGGCCCGCGATCAGGGATGATGACCAGACCTCCTACACCGCAGGGAAGGCTAGCGCAGGCTGCTCGTACCCGAGGTCAGGCTAAAGCCGGTGCAAGCCAAGAGCCTCCTCGAAAAGAACCTGAACCAAAGAAGAGAAAGGAAGCTGTAGAAGTGGAGGATGATGACGAGGCGAAAGAAGAGGATGAAAGGTTGCGCCAAGAGGAAGATCAGAGGGCGGAACAGAGGGCTAGAAAGAGAGAGGCTAGGGAAGAAGTCGAGCCAATCCTGCACGATGTGCCGCCCAAAAAGAAGAAGTATGCGGTTCGGCTGGAAGAAGGGTTCGATGTGGAGAGCGTGATTGATACTTGTTGGAGGGTCACAACGACCTTATGACCCTAAAGGAGATCTTGGCGTCGACACCTAAGCTCCGGGACAGACTCAAAGGGAGATTGTCGCGACGCTTGGTGCCCAACGTTCATCTAAGTATGATCCTGCCTAAGGAAGCAGAGTGGGTGGAGACGGGGACAAAGATGGACTGGAAGTGCGTAGCTTGTGGCACGGTGGATTTGGTGGGAAAGGGCTCCAAGTGCTCAGCCATGGTAGATACAAGGGCGGAAATGAATATTATCCGGGAGGCTGATGCGATCAGGTTCGAATTAGAGATAGACCGCTCGGATTGCGGTATCCTGCATGGAGCCAACTGTAAAGCAGTGTTTTGCGGGACAGCCTCAAATGTACTTATCGAGGTTGGAAGAGTAAAGGCCAGGGCATGCTTCTTCGTTATGCCTGACGTGGACCACATGATTCTTTTGGGAAGGTCCTTCCTATGCAAGACAGAGGCATTGATGTTTAACAAACACGATGGAACTCTGATCCTTATCATGTGTGACCCTGCCTGTGGGAATTATGACGTAATTACCTGCAGAAATACGGGGCCCCGAAGCATAAGGAGCCGACCTAACCCAGACTCATTCATGATTGAGGAGTCAGAGGGCGAGCGCCAGAGACTCCTTGCGGAACCAGTAGAGGAGGAAAGAGTCGAGGCGTTCTCTCTCAGCTTGTCAGACGTGAATAAAGCCATGGACATTGTGGCCACACACGAGATGGCGGATCCGGACACCATCCAGGCATCAAGGGAGCAGGTCCTGGAGTGTCCCCAGGCGGGAGAGTTGGAGTTGGTATATCGACTTCCAGGGGGAAGGATGAACCCGGCGTCAATGCAAGCTCAAGTTGTAAGCCGGCCTTTTTTAGGGGACAGCTCAAGCAGGGTTCCCAAAGGCGGTACAAGACGATAGATAAAAAGTGCCGCCCAGTTCCCGTCCTCGTTACCGAAGATGAGGAAGTGTATTATGAACGGGAACGAGGTTTGATACGACAAATGAAGGAGAATGCCGCAGCAGGACCATGTCGTATCAACGGAGGGAACCAAGGGAAGTTGATAATCGGAGAGCCTGACTTCCTACTGCCCCAAGAAAGAGCATTAATGGTGGAGCTAATGAAGAAGAGGCATCGCGCCTATGCGTTCGGTGATGAGGAGCGCGGCAGGTTGACTGTGGACAAGATTCGTATGATCCGCATCCACACCGTGCCGCATGAGCCATGGAACTTGAGAGGGGCGCGATATCCTAATCCTGACGAGGAAAAGAAGGTGGTAGACTACCTCGACGGCAAGATACTAAGCATGTCGAGCGGGTCGTATGCATCCCCATGGTTTTGCTTCATCAAACCCAATGGGACGTTGCGATGGGTGCAAGATCTGTAGCGGCTGAATGCGGTGACCGTGCGAGATGCGAGAGGATTGCCAAATGCGGATGCGCTGTCAGAGTCCTGTGCTGGAAGGCCGATAATCTCGCTTATAGACCTTTATTCTGGATATGACCAATTTCTGGTCTATCTGTCAGACAGGTCAGTGACGGCAATGCATACGCCTCGGGGGTTGATCCAGATGCATGTGGTCCCACAAGGGTGGACCAACGCAGTAGCAATGGTTCAGCCGGCCATGATCAGGGCCATGCAATCAGTCAACCCTCATATCACACAACCATATATCGATGACTTAGCGGTGAAGGGGCCAACGGTGAAAGAGAATGACGAAGTCTTGCCAGGAGTGAGACGTTTTGTCTGGAAGCATATTCAGGACCTTGAGAAAGTCCTGAATCTGCTTGAAGAACATAACCTCACTGCAAGTGGGGCCAAATCCAGACACTGCATGAGGGAAGCTACTATCTTGGGGTTCGTCTGTAATGAGAAGGGTCGTCGGCCGGACGTAAAGAAGACGGACAAGATTATTGAGTGGCCAGTACCATTCCACTCGATAACTGATGTTAGAAGCTTCCTCGACACATGTGGGTTTTGGAGGATTTTCGTCAAAAACTTCGTCGCCAAGATAGAGCACTTGAGAAAGTTGGTTCGTCAGGATCAGGAGTGGGTCTGGGGTGAAGAGCAGGAGAGAGCGGTGGCAGAAATGAAGGAAGAGTTCAAAGAAGGAGGGTTGGTATTGGGAGCGTCGGACTATGACGCCACGGAGACAAGACCATCATTGTTGAAACGGATGTTGGGCCGACTGCCTTAGGTGGAGTTTTGATCCAAGCAGATACAAAAGGGAAAGAGAGACCGCTACGATTTGAGAGTCGAACTCTCTGTACGACTGAGAGAAATTACTCTCAGTTCAAGAGAGAGACTCTCGCCGTCCTCCACTGTCTGCGAATTTTTCGAAACTATATCTTTGACAGGAGATTCATATTAAGAGTGGACCCGACTGCTCTGGGCCTATTCCCTAAGGAATTATGTTCCCTCATATCCGATTGTTGCCAGATGGCCGACATACATCTGGATGTTTAATTTTGAGCTGGAACGAATCCCTGGGAATAAGAACAGCGCTGGCGGGCTGAGCCGTATCAACTGGGGTAAGCAAGAGGGGGAGGCGATAGAAGACACGTCCTCATTTGATGGCTTTCTGGATCAGGAAGAGGACATCCATCTTCACATCAATAAGTGGTCCCCGCGAGTGCCTAGCTGCATGGGTCATTCTATCTGGCATGCGCCAAATGGGTATGAACGGAAGGCAGAGCTGGTCCTCAAGCCTTTCGAAGAGGAAGACCCATGGGGCGGAAAAGACGTCCAGTGGATGATGAAGTTGGCATTGGCAGGCACGCATAGTCTGGCAGAGGAAGTAAGGGCGATAGAGGAAGGACCGGATCAGGTAGAAAGGCACGAGGAGTTGATGGGAGGGATGTATCTCCTCGTCAATACGCTTCTACAAGGAGACTTTGATCAGATAGGCTCATTGAATCCGGCTGAGAATGAGGAAGTGGTGTCGAAAAGCCAGGATGACGAGTTTGAGGAGGGAGAGATCAAAGAGGCATTCCGTGCAGAGGAGTATGATGGGATCTACCTGGAACTGGGACTTCTCCTATCATGTGAAATGCGGAATAGAGATGCCAGCGATAGAGCCCAAAGGATGATGCAACGCTATTTGGTAAGGGATGGTCATCTTTTCATAAAGAGGCAAGTGGGAAATCCTAGGAGGGTCGTATGCGGCAGGAGCCGTCAGATCGATGTTGTAGCTGCGCTTCATGATGGCATCGCAGGAGGGCACCGAGGAGTTAGTGCCACATATGCCAAAATGAGTGAGCTATATTATTGGGACGGGATGATGGAGATGGTTAGTAAGTTCTGCCGGTCCTGCGTTCCTTGTCAAGAACAATCTCGTCTGAGGCCAGGAGAGCCGTTGCATCCAAGACTAGAAAGGGAAGTAGGGGCCGTAGTACATCTCGACTTACTCTTCATACCACTTGGGGATCATGGCTACAATTATATCTTCGATGCGCGTGACAACTTGTCTGACTTTGTGGATGGCCGGGCTATTCGTACAAAGACCGGGCCAGTCTTGGTTAGTTGTATCGAGGAGTATTACCTGCGCTATCCCTTTGTCAGAGAGTTCGTAATGGATAGAGGGTCGGAGTTTACCTGCCAGGCGGGACAAGAGCTGTTATCAAGGTACGGCATGGTAGCTAATTACACCACGGTCGCGCACCCCCAGGCAAACGCTGCAGTGGAGAGAGGACACAACACCATCACGAGTCTTCTGGCTAAATGGACTGAGGGTAGACCTAATCAGTGGCCAAGGTACCTGAGGGCGGCATTCTTTGTCGAGAATATTACGGTGAAAAGGACCACTAAATACGCACCGGCCACACTATGGTATGGGAGACACGCTACCTTCCCGATCGAGAGCTTCCTAAAGACTTGGAGGCGTCAGGATCTGGAGGTCAATCTGTCTTTTGAGGAATTGCTCGATATTCGAGCGCGGCAGGTGGGCGCGATAGAGAAAAGAATTCAGGAGGCGTCCAACCAAGTGGAGAAAAGCCGTATGGAGGATAAGGCTCGTTGGGACCAGTCGGCGCGAGTAAGGAAAGTACCCTTGGCCGTTGGGGACGTTGTACTCCTGTATGATTCATCCTTGGAAAAGCAGTGGTCCAGGAAACTCGACAAGAGGTGGTTAGGTCCCTACCGGATTGTGCGACGCGGAGATTTCGACGCATATCAGATTGAAGATCTAAATGGGACAGAGTGGAAGGATTGGGTGTCGGGAGCAAGACTGAAAAAGTTTGTGGAAAGGGAAGAGGTAAGATAGATGATCTGGCTTCTTTAAAGTAGGAATGATAGGATGTGTAGATTAGATAGGGTGCATGTTGTATGTGTTTGGTTTGGCCTGAGCCTGCTTTAGTTACCACCTGTTTGCTTACCCCATTGTGTGTCTGTTGTCTCCTTCGCCTGTTGTGCAGGTCTGACTTTACGAAGACAGCCATGCCAAGAGGAGGGAGGGGGACGAGGCCGTCACGGAGGTCGTTGGGAGCATCAGGAGGGTACGAGCGGCATGGGTCTCACCACCGAGAAAGTACGCCAGTGTACGACGATGGGGATATTGAGTTGTTCCTGGACGAGTTCTGGGGGTATGCGGATCATATGGGCTGGGCTATGACCCAAGCAATCGAGAGGCTGGGAGGGGCCGACAGGTTCGCAGAGCCCATTGCACCGATTCGTAGGGAGGCAAGGACAAGGCCTGAGGTGGAGGCAAGGATGCAGGAGCTACGACCATCACCTGTGGGACCTGACGGCATACCGATCCGCCTGGAGATCGGGAATGCAGAGGAATTCATTCCCGCCTTCGAGCAGTTCATGCATGGTCAGGGTATATTGAGGGATGAATGGGCGAGAACATTGCCCCTATGGACGAGGAAGGCGAAGAGGCCATTGGCCAGGCAGATCAGGGACATGGCCCGAGATTGGGAAAGCTGGAGGGCGCACTTGAGAGAGGCATTCTGACGGCCAGAGCCGCCTCAGCCTAGGGTCGAGAGGCGCCAGAGGAGCAAGAGGCAGAGGGACCCTGAACCCAATGAGGCCAGGCCATCTCGAGGGGGACGGAAGGCACTCGCCAGGCGAGAGGAGGAGTCGGCGCTTGAGACAGAGGGGCGAGGGGCATATTCTGAGTGCGGGTTGGGACCGGTGGAGTTCCATCGCTTTACTGAGGGTGGATAGGGAGGATCTCCGCAGTGCGCACGAGAGGAGGTGCCGACGTCTGGAGAGCATCTGCAAGAGCTGGAAGCACATTTGGATGTCTCGCAGTGGAGAGTGCCGCTGGTGAGTAAGAGACGTGGCGAGCTGGCAGAGGAGGCACCCAGAGAGGAGGCCCGGGGACCTGAGCAAGAGAGGAGGCCGAGTACTAAGAGGAGGCATGCTGGGGAGGAGCTGATAGAGGTTGAGGAGGATACTCCCCCTCAGACGCCGACTGTGGGGCTAAGACTCGGGAGTACGCCAAAGAGCACACACAACAGAGAGGAGGGATCACAGCGAGAGGAGATCCCACTATCGCCACCAGAGATGGTCCCTTCACAAGGAGGAAGGGTAGAAGGGGAAAGAGAGAGAGCTGACCGGAGGAGAGAGGCCCTTGCCATGATTGACAAGCATCTGGCGGCACACGCCTTGGAGCACCCTGACCTGGAGGAGCCCGTACCTGTGGAACCACCCCACGAGCCGCGTTAAGCCGAGAGAGAGATTAAAGCGGAGATTCCAGAGAGAGTCGACCGTCGCACGAGAGAGAGAGTGCCAGCAGGGGAGACGGCTGAGGAAAAGCGGGCCAGAGTAGGGAAGCGCTTGGAAGAAATCTGGCAAGAGAGACAGAGATTGGAAGAGGCAGGAACACTCCCGGACCAGCCACCACCGCATGGGCCATATGGAATCAAGGAGATATGGGATGAGTTCCTTGATCAGCATGGCGAGGAACTGACGGCTCCAGAAAAGGCAGAAGTCGGAACCTCGAAGAAAGCAGATGAGTACTTGGACCGAAAGATCCGCTCCCTGTCCACGACATCCTTCGACAGATATATGATGTTGGAAGCTGATCTGAGAGGGAAAGAGATGGAGGTAAGCCATGGAGTATGTTTGGAGGCCGTCGAAGCTGAGATCCGAGAGCTCCGAGCACTGGCGGCTAGTAAGGCTGTCATCATTCAGGACTTGAGACAGCAACTTCGAGGTGAGACTGGTAGGGTTGACAGAGAGGGGCCAGGGAAGGCAGTGAACAGGGCAGAGAGCAGCAGGCAAGGAGAGCAGTGGCAGGCAGGACATGGCTTATCAGGACAACCATCCGCTGCTAAGCTTCAGCAGGGGTCATCAATGGGAAGAATCATCTTGAACCTTGAGGAGGCAAAAGCCAAGAGAGAAGCAGAGAGAGAAGCCTTCGAGTTCATAGACCCTACTGAACTCGCCACACTGCCTATAGTAGTTGCGGAACCCGCCATGCCACCTCCAGTTGAGGAGGGGCGGCCGATTGCCAGCAGTGAGCCAGTCCAGGGCTCAACAGAGGGGTCTATGGATGTGCTTCTCGAGGCGGTTCACTTTGTGCAGGAGGAGGCAAGCCTATGTTCACCTGAGCAAAGGATAGAGGAGCCTCCTGAGAGAGAGATGGGGGGTGCGATAGAAGGCGTCATCGAGGGCAGGCCCCAGAGGTTGGATACGCCCGAGTATAGGCCAGAAGGGGTTGGGATGCGACTAGGGCCTAGTACTCAGGAGTTGGGGACAGAACCTGAGGAGTCTATGGACGTGCCTCAGAGTTACGAGCTGGGCAGAGAGACTAGCAAGACGCCATCATCACTAGGATCTCAGAAGGAGAAGAAGAAATCCAAGAAGTGGTTCGACGCATCCTGCTACTTTTGCAAAAAGGAAGGCCATCGAGCCTTGCAGTGTCCAAAGTTCTTGAAGGACCTGGCTGAAGGGAAAGTTACGAGGAGAGGCGGAAAAATGTATGATAGACAGGGTAGAGTAGTAGAGCGATCTGTATAGACAGAACCAGGAGGAGATGAGTGAGTAGGGACTGGTTCGCCTAAATGGGGTAGACACCTTTTTGTTGGCCTTGCGTTTACTAGGATATTTAGATACCTATGTCGTTGAGTGTACAGATGGGGGACTTCAACATAGGATGCCCATTGAGATTAGAACCATGTAAGATAGGGCGTGTATACCGGGTAACAGTAGAATTCTGGGTTGTTTTAGTGATTTTCTTGTACGGTTGACCATGTACTATATGGAGAGTGACATGAGACGTTTTGAATAAGTCATGGAACGTGATTATTGTATATATTTTTCGATGAGGTATCTTGTCCCTGAGTGTATGTCTATGTTGAGTCCTATTTGAGACTACCCTTTGTATATGACGATCACAATCACTCTCACGTGTGTGGTTTTATCCTAATGTATGATGATTTCCTGTAAAAGGATGTATGAGAAACATCTTGTATGTTTTGTATGTTGTGAATATGAATGAATGTGAGGTGTCTACTCTTTGGGCCGGGTATAAGGAGAGGGAGTGCAGTTCGTTTTTGTGAAAGATGAGAATCCTAAGGGATTTATGAGTCTTTAAGACTCGAGAGCCACCATGCCAAAATGTTTATTGTTTGAGTTATGACGAGGACCCATAAGTTGGTCCCTCAGTGATGAGTTGTTTATGAATTAGACTTCGTCAGTATGGGAAGGTGGTGATGTTTGTTTTGGTGAAAGACTCATCTTCAAATGGGAGATGTGTGAAAAAGGTCGTATGGAAGTTCATCCTAGAGAAGAAAGGGATGACTGGGAGACCTAATGTGAGAGGCACCTTTGCTGAATAAAGGTGGGGAATAGATTCAATGGCATCGTAGGCTGGCTTGAATGATAAAGTCTGACGAGAAGGACAACGATTTTGCTTGGCCATTGTTAGAATTTTTAAGAAAGTCGCAAAAAGCTTCGTTGGGAGATGTCACTAAGAGGTGGCCTTCTTGCTCTGATAAAGTAGGGAGGCCACGGCCTCGTGAACCTGACAGTGATTTTGTTTTGTGAAAGAGGAGAGGTTGCCCTGTTTCTTTGTGTTGTCCCACATAGGACCAGTACATACCTTTATGTGTGACAGACCTCTGCGTAGTCCCGCAGTAGGCCTGTATTGTTGCGACACACCGTCTAGCCACTTGTGCTAATCTTGGGGCATAACTAGCATCACTGAGGCGCAACCCCCAGTGTTGGCTGCTGATCGGCGCAACCTGACAGCGGGCCCACGTCTCGCCAGAAGGGGTCAAGACTGGTATGGCCTCCCAGGAGGGTTTTACCTGCCGTGGGATGGCGTGGGATAAGAGTCGAGTCTTTTAGAGTCCTGATTGAATGTTTATCAGGAGAAAAAGCCTATCGTGGTGCAACCTGCGAGGGCACTACCGCTGAAATAACAAATGCGGTGGCCGTAGAGCTGGCATGATCACCCAGACTATGGTGGGCCAAGATGGAGACCTAGCCTTCCTGTACTATACTGCAGGAGGTATGTTGAGATAAGATTTATATATATATATGTTTGGTTGTGAGAATTATTGGAGGGAGGCGAGAGTGCCTTCTAAGGTCTCGGTTTAGGCCCTGCTAGCAGGGTAGAAACTAAGGACACTTAACGAGAAGTCGACGTTTGTCTAGGACGAAGGGGAGAGGACGGTTGAGAGGGGCCGCTGAGACTTATGTTGTAGTACGTATGTCCAGTACACCTGCGTCCTTGTCAGGGCAATGAAGACCCAGGTTGGAACCCTGGCAGCATATAGTTCTAAGGGCTTGGATTGTTGGGGGCCTCAAACCTGAGTCTGTCGGTTAATCCGATTGGTTCCTTTCTCGTCAGCATTTGGAGTGTGGATGGATTTGTAGCTTTTCGATCTTGCGAAGCGACGGGGACGTCGCTTAATATGGTTCGGTAAGCTGTCGGCGCGAATACCCTCACAAGGGAATCCGCCCTGGTTTTTGTAAGTGACAGAAAATAAGCTTGGATTAAAATAGACTGTGTGAGGCGCGACCGTAACTATGACCTATTTTTTGTTTAGGAATTTGACTAAGAAAGAAGGTGAGTGGGCGCGCAGTTTTAAGGCGCGCGTGTGATTCTTCTATTTGATTGTGCAACCGACTTAGTTGACCGGTTTCATTTTTGCTATAGAGGATAATAAGGAATAAGAGGTTTGTCTTCGTTCGGCACGTTGACCAGTGGTAGGCTTGGCGTAAGAAGTAGGGTGCGAGGTAGCCATGGCACCAATTAGGCAAGCTAGCGTGGATGCCTAGCGGCCGCGTGCTTAGTTATGGGTGAGAATGAGGCCCGGGCAGTTTTCCCAGGGCTGGGCGCTGCGCCGCATCATCTTTTATTTAATTCACCGCAGGCCAGTCCCAGGCTTGGGCTTAGCCCTATAGGTTACGACAGAGGTACGGGGTTCGAGACCAGTGAGCCGCGGCATGGGAGCGACGGAGTACTGAAGGAACTGAGGGGTTGAGGGTCCCGTGGGACTATCCCCCTCAGTTTTGCTGAGGAAATCAGGCCGTGGGCCGATCGTTTTTTGCTTTTATTGAATTTTTTTTATTTTTATTTTTTATTTTGACCAGTACCGGTTTCAAGCCGGGCCAAGAATTCATGAGTATGGCTCGGAGGATACACCGGGGAACCGTTGGAATGCAGGCCACGAATCGGGCCTGGATGCTGAAATCCAATGAGTGTTGGTTAGCCTTTGGAAGGCCGCAGAGGGCTGTCCCGGTCAAAGTCCTTCAGGACATCCGTTAAAATTGGAGCAATACAAAGAAGATTAGCATGACCCGGCGTGAGGGTGGCACGTATAAATCGAAGGTGAAGTGTTCCTTTCGATTGTTGCCCCTGCTTCCGTTCGAACCGACTGTCGTGCTGTTCGGGCCACGGTGCGCTAATCGTGTTGACCTCAACGCGAGGATGGCGAAGGGGATGACCGAGAGAGGAGTTGCATGCGCAGATCTCGACTGAATTGGGCATAAGGAAGAAGGCGGGCAGGGTCAAACGGGAGAGGCGGCGTAGGAAGGCAAGCGAAGAGGGAGTGAATCTCAGTTTCGCGCCAGGGGCGTTCGAAAACACAGCAAAGTTGGCGACGGGAAAAAACGAGGTGATGGCGGGAGTGTGGGAGTGAGGCTTTTGCTCATCCTCTGAAGAGGGTGGAGCGAACAACAAGGGCAGCCGGGTGAAGGTAACGGTGGAAAGGGGGGCGGGAACCTGGATAAGATTCTGCACCGGGAGCACTCAGCGAAGGAGGAGAGAAATAGTACAGGAAGAGAGAAAGGCCAGGGGTGGTCACAAAGATGCTGTGATCTCAATTCTAGTTCATTTTCAACGAGGAAGGAGTCGATTTAGGGGTTATGCCCCCGGGCGAATCGGTCTATGAAGTCGGAATCCACGCTGGAGGCGCGGATTCATTATTACGAAGACTATAGGTTGCTAACTCAGCCGTTTCATAGTGAAAACGTGTAAGGGAAGACTCTAAATTGGTGTTTTCGGAATATGTGAGCGTATTAGTAGAGTTAGATTTGGTATTAGTAGTGCAGAGTAAGAATTACTAAGCAGAGGAGGTGTGTGCAGGAGGAGAAATGATGAGAGGAGGGGGTTAACCCGCTCGTATTCCGGTGGAAGATTCACTACGATGTTGCTATTTCGGTCGATGGTAGGAGCAGGAGGGCAGCGTGGGCTGTTTGTGGAATGGGTCACTGAAAAACTCTCCCTCTTACACACATAAGTGCGGTAGTATATCTCCCTGTGTCTTAGCGGAGGCCTACTGCTTGTCTTTTTCGTAAGCTGCATAGGGAAAATTTTAATTGACTATGTATCTGGCCATACTCTGCCGGTAATTTCAACCGAGTCTGCCCAGTAAAGTGATAAGGTAGCCGGCATAAATCGAACTTACCTCGGGCTAAGGACGTTCAAACGAAAGGCTCGGATTGGAGAGGGAAGATGGGCGAGGTAAGAAAGTGTAGGAGGAAAACGAACCTATCCATACTTTCGTGGAAGATCCATTCTGACGTTGCCCGCTTAAACGGAGGGGGTAGTGGAGGAGCCAGGCAGCAGGGGCGGAGTACTTACCTTGCATTACAACTTTACACGCCGTACTGATGGAAGGAGCATGAGCCCAGTCACAGATCAACGAAGATTTACTGGCTGGCAGGCGGGTTCGAGTGGGCGTATGACAGTGCGCATCCCTATGTTCTGACAACAGACTCATCCAGTCTTACTTGCCTGATGAGCAAGGATAGCGCAGGGTTGGTGGTGGATCGGAGACTTACCTACAGGCCAGCGCGCTGTCCGCTTTGTCGATTGAAGCAGCAAGGGAATTCGGCAGAAGCACTAGTCATTTTGAGGATCTGAAGTCACGCACTTTGTTTGTCTCTGTTGGCTGTTATGGTTGGCCATAGTCTCTTACGGGTTGCTTTGCTCTTGCTCGCTGTTGCAACGAGTTTAGTTAACGAAGCCATCTTCGTTTGCTGGTCACTCAGGCCGACCGTGTAAGCCAAGTATTGCTGTAACAGGGTTGCGGGACCAGCCGTGTTGCCTTGTTGATGCTTCTGTTGTAAACAACTGTTGCGAAAATTATGAATCTTGGTGATTATTAGAACAGCACGGGATGTTGACACAGCTGCATGTAGCCTTATCGACAGCATCATACACTGTGCCTTGCTAAAGCTCGTTGTCCAGCCTTACATCTAAGCCCGGATGTTGTGTATTATAGTCGGGCAACATGCTGTGTATTATGGTGATACTCGGTTGATTGTGAAGCAATGATTAAGCGCACCTGTTATGACTACTGCAGTGCTGTATCACAGTGTGCTCCGCTGGTTACTTCGACTATGCATCTGCTACAGCAGTTTACTGTGCTTACTGTGGATGGTGGTGCTGATGGCGATCGTGTGAACTGTTGTG